CTCCAGTGGCAGGTATCATCTCTAGCATTCTCTTACATCTTGATCTAATTTTCGTGGCACTTGGTAATTTCCTTTTATATTATTGTTGAAGTTCAAACATTTTATAGAGTTTCATCCAAGATGTGATTTTATTTTTTGTCTGCTGTTCTTTTTGTTGTTTTTGATGAGTTTCATAGAGGAGAAGGGACATTAACAGTATCTATTTTTATTTAGCTGTAATTGGTAGAAATCCTACATTTTGTCTAGTTATTGCATGTATGTAGGGAAACTGGTTTTATATATTATCTCATTGAACTATTTTTGGTTCTAGTTGCTTTTTCCTTCAATTCTCTGGGGTTTTACAAGTAGAAAATTCTATTACCTACAAATTTTATCAGGAGCCCTGGTGGTGCAGTGGTTAAAGTGCTCTGCAGGTGGTTCGAACCACCAGCTGCTCTGCAGGAGAAAGATATGGCAGTCTGCTTCTGTAAAGAATGACAGCCTTGGAAACTCTATGGTGCAGTTCTACCCTGTCCTTCAGGGTCATTATGAGTCAGAATGGACTTGTCGGCAGTGGGTTTGTTTGCTTTCTTAATAAATTTTATCGTCTGACCATATGTTGTCATCCTTTCTAACATATTTGTGTGTGCATACATATATCCCATTGCCGTCAAGTTGATTCTGACTCATAGCGACCCTAAGGACGGCGTAGAACTGCCCCATAGGATTTCGAAGGCTATAATCTTTACAGAAACCGACTGCCACATTTTTCACCCCGGGTGCGGCTGGAGGGTTCCAACTGCTGAGAACACTTAACTACTGTGCCATCAGTATATTCGAATAATAGCTATAATAAGAAGTGTCCTGTTATGCTCCTGATTTTTATGGGAATAACTGGTGTTTGACTGTTTAAAATTAAAGTGCTATTGTTTTGTGACAGCTGTTAAATTTTAATCAAATTCCTTTTAAGCAGCTACCTTGATGATCTAATGATGTTTAGCATTTTTGCAACTATAGCATAGTGTGAGATTGGTATAGAGCTTTTTTGAGGAATGCTGATAGTGTCTTTGTCAGATTTCTGGTTAGATAACCTTGGTTGGCTAGAGATGCAAGAATGGTGTCCATTGGACACAACTTTGATAGTGCGCCCACGCCCCTCAAGCCATAAGCAGGGGCTATCCCAAAGGCAAGAGCTGAAAGTGCAGGCGATGAAACAGCCCAAAACGGGCTTGGAAAGGTTTGTTCAGACTCTGAAAAGACAGGTGGTAAAAGGCTGATCGGACCAAAGCCGTTAATAAGGAGAAATTTATGTATAGAGAACCAAAACCCGTTGCAGTCGAGTGGATTCCGACTCATAACGACCCTATAGGATAGAGTAGAACTGCCCCATAGCGTTTCTAAGGAGGGCTGGTGGATTCAAACTGCCGACCTTTTGGTTAGCAGCTGAGCTCTTAACGACTTCGCCACCAGGGCTCTTATGTACAGAGGGTAGTACTGAATTCTGCTACGCACCCACCTTCGAGGCGCTGGTAATTACCCAGGCTATAACGTTTGCGCACACGGGGGTCTTTGTTCTAAATGCGTTTGTACTCAAGGAGTGGGTGCATTACAAAGGAAAAAAGGAATGTGACACTGGAGGGCCCAAGGGAGAGGGGAAAAGGGAAGCCTTGAAACCGCTGAGGAAAGGGTTCTAGGGAGTGTTTAAGGATTGATGGTTACATTTACACTTAAAGGCAGTTAATCTGTAGCTGTTAGTTAAGGATATGGAAGCACCTGTTAAATGTCTCTAACACAAGACGGGGTTATGGCCTGGTCAGCTCATTCCCAGAGTCCTTTGCGGGCAGGATCCATGTTGAATATGTCTAAACCCCACAAATTTAGGCACTATTTAATAAACTGTTGTCGGGTGAGGGTGGTTCGCTGTCATTGCAGGCCTTCCCTTTCAGCCACAGTTGGTGAAAGATTTATTGGCAGCTTGGAGATCTAGTGTGCATGCTTACCAAATATATAGGAATATGAAATTTGAATATAGGCAAATATAATCTTGTTCAAATTATAATATCCTTTTGCTGACAAACTCTGGTGAGTATGAGATTTACTATTTTCTTGTTTGGTTTCAAGATCTCTAATCAGAGTTTATGCATTATGGTTAGAAATATTTTGAGTTTAAAACTTGAGGCCAAGTTTGGTGGGAGAGCTTTATAATAATTGTTTTGGCGATAAAGGCCAAGGAGAAATCAGGATTATGTTTTTGTGTAGTCGCCACTTAAAGTTGTACTGTGCTTAATTAAAAACTTGAAAATACCTGATTAAGAGAAACTATTAAAAATGCCAAAAAGTGGTAAAATGGAATACTGACAATAAAAGGCCTTGTTGAAGAGAAGTTTTGTTAATGCATGATTTTAATGTTCGCCTGGTCATCTTATCCAAAAGGCACGTTGTTAGCTTTCCTTATCTTTGAATATCCTTCTCTCTCAAATATTGCTTTCCCACAAATCTTTTATTTGAATATGAATACAATGTTGTGTCTAAAGATGGGAAAGCATATGGTAGAACAAATCCCACTGGTTGAGTGCTATCCAGTTATTCTTCACACAAATGAAATCTTTAGAAAAATAGATGTCAGTGGAAATTTGAATAGAGAAATGTGAAAAGTCTGAGAAGTGTGTGAAGGAGGAGGAATTTTTGTCATGGTTTTCCGTGCTGATTCTCTGTAGGAGTTTTTCCTTCTCTCCACCCCCTAATCCATACTTACAAATACTATCCTCCTAGATACAATTCAGAATTCTTAACCTGTTATAACTGGAGGCTTGAATGCATGTTTAAAATTAAGGGGCAGCTGCCTCCCAAAAGTAAGTACGTCGCTCCACATGTATTTTGTCAGCTGCTTATGGAAAAGCAGAAATAATAACCTTTCACCCCAAAGCAGTAAACTTGATTAGCAGCATTAAATTGAAACGAGGAAATGCAAACCCTAATCTCTGGTAGATAATTATTTTATTTTTGGTTCTGAAGTTTGGTGAAGAATTGAAGAAATTCAATTTTTGTGGTCTATTTCACATCCTAATGAGGACTCCCAATGATAGCCATACGTGTTCTTGACTCCACCTAGCACTTTAATGGGCTGACATATTTCCCTCTTTAATTTTATCTGAGACTTGTATCAGTGATATTCAGGTTTCTTAACTCAGAAAAGCAAACTAGTTTGGAACATTTACTACTCACATTGTTTTATTATGCTGCAGCTTGCCCCTTCTATTTCCCTGAAAGAGATAAGGGGTGGGTTTGTGACGTTCAGGGAAGATGATTTGATCTTACTGGCAGCAGTCCCATTTTTACCCTTAAGAGAGTGCTTGAGCCCCCCACCCCACATTTTAGTCATTAATTAGAAAAAGTACAGGAAATTTCAGACATACTAGAAAGTGTAAAGGATCAATTAATTAACCCCTTATGTAATCATCACCTAGCTTCAAAAATTATCAACAATTTTAGGCAATATTCTGACCAGAAAATATAATGTCCTGGAAGCCTCCATTCTTGATCTGTATTCAGCTTTTGCCTTTCAGATTTTGGTTCTTGGGACTTTGGACACTGTGTTAAAACAAGGATTTGAGTGAGGAATTTAGTGTTTAACACTCAATTTTAAAAGTCTCTTTCCTTTCAGTTCTCCTCTCGGCAAGAGACTGGTTGTAGGGTGCTAACTGGAATTTGAAGGTGGTTATTGTATCTCAGAGCTATCTCACATAGAACTGATTGCAGTCCCAATTTCTGCGCAGAAAACTGGCATAAAAGCGAAGCTGGAGAAAAAATGGGCATCTAGTCTGTTCTCACTTTGCTTGATTGCTGTTTTCTAAATATGTAGAGTAAATAAAGCTCTGGTTTTCTGGTCACACTCTGGAGAGTGTCTCAGTTCTTTCTTTTTCCTCTTCTTCGCACATCCTCTTTGGGGATGAGTTGTCAAGTCTTCCTGAGTTTCTGATTCTTGATATTGACTGGTTCTTGATCTCCTTTTTCCCTAGCGCGTCAAGAGTCGCTTACAAAGCGCTCCCATCAGGGCCTCCCACCAGGGCCTCCTGGGGAAAGATAAAAATTTATCCCGCAAAGAGCGGAAAGTAGAATGATAAAGCTTGCGCTCTTCTGCTGTGGTGCCTGGATAAAGTGAGAATCAGGAGGAAGCCTGAGGCGGACACTATTCCCCAGATTGCCCCTCCCTGGTCGCCTATGTTTAACTCTTGGTGGCTCCGAGATTATAAGAGGATGCATAAGAGGGTTCAACTTGCAGTGGAGAGAGGCTGGGAGGCCAGCACTAAATGCCCCACAGCACTTGCCTGGGGACTCCTGTTTCCTTAAGCCTAGAAGGCGTGGTCGTTCACGTTCACTGAACCTCCTCTCACAGCCTCCTCCCAGCAGTTTCCCTCTGAGTCCCGCCTTCTTCCACGGGCAGTTAAGAGGTTAATGGGTCGAGTCGCTAGGACCTCTACGCTCAGCTTTCCTGCAGCGCAGGAACAGTTGGCGGGAGGAGTCCACCGACTCAGCCCCAGTTGCAAGCAGTTTTCAGGCAGAGCTTGTGGGAGTTAACACCGGGGCTGTCGCGGGGCTCGCCACTGTCCTAGGAAACGCCGTTTAAGGAGAATTATGTTAGATTATCCGAGTGTCTTTCTTGCCTCGCCCCGCTTCCACTGCGGGGGCTCGGAGGGAGATCCCGGCCCGCAGCGGAGGGAGACCACGCTCTGCCAACTCACAGTTCCCCTCGTCTCTGCACCTCTAGGCGGCGCTGTGCTTCTCCGCACCCCGCGGCTCCTCTTTCCCAGACGGGTGTGAAATCTCTAGTCTAGCAAGCCCAGCTCCTGGCTGGCCAACCCGGGCAATTCCGGTACTCGAAGACTGAACGTCGGCGGTCGCGGCGCTTCCAGCCGGCGGCGGCCTGGCGGAGCGTGCTCTTCCCGGCGGCTCGTTCTCTCCGGGAGTCCGGAGCATGGTTCCGGGTCGCCGCTGGAGGAGCGCGGACGCCGAGAGGCAGCATGGTGGGCTAGGGGGTGGCGGCTCTCTATTTTTGGGTCTCCTGCGGCGCCTCAGCCGGGTAGCTGCAGTACTCCGTGTTGGAGGAGACGGAGCGGGGAGTAGCTGTAGGCAATGTCGCCGAGGACTTGAAACTGTCGGCGGCCGCTCTGTCCTTGAGGAACTTTCGCTTGCTTCCAGTCACGATGAGCCCTACTTCGGAGTGGACCCGGTCAGCGGTAGCTTGGTGGTCCGAGAGCCGGCAGACCGCGAGCGGCTGTGCGAGGCCAAAGCTGTCTGCGTCTTGACCTATGAGCTGCACAAGATGGGCGTTCACGTCCTGGACGCCAAGGACAACTCGCCTCTTTTGTCTGCTGGCAGCTTGCAGCCCCACATCCCCGAGTTCCTGACACCCGAAGCCAGCTTTACTCTTCCAAAGCTCATGATGCCGACGAGGGAAGCAACGGGGTGCTAAGCTACAGCCTCAGTCGCAGCCAGCACTTCCGCCTGGAAATGGGGGCGCGGGTCGACGGCAGCGAATACCCAGAGTTGGTGTTGGAGAAAACGCTGGATCGCGAGCAGCGCGCCCCCCACCGCTCGGGACAGCGGGCGGCCCGCGCGCTTCGGAGACGCACAAGTCACCATCATCGTGGTGGACACCAACAACAACGCGCCTGTATTTGAGCGCTCCGTATACCGCACGAAGATTCCAGAGACTGTCCCCAATGGGATTGTGTTGTTCTGAGTTCAGGCCGTCTATCCGGATGAGGGCTCCAATGGGGAAATCCGGTACTCCTTAAGCAATAGCACGTGAGCAGAGCTGAGATACCGTTTTCTCGTGCACCCTAGAAGTGGGGAGGTGCGTGTCACCAGGTCCACCTTAAACGCTGTTGGAGGCATACATAATATAGAGGCGAGGGATGAAGGCACCTTCGGTTTAGCTAGCGCTGCTGAACTGCTGGTGGAGGTAACTGACGTGAACGATCATGCCCCCGAGATGAACCTCATGACTCTATCTAGCCCGGTTCCAGAAGACGCCGCACCTGGCACAGAGATTGCTCTCCTCAGTGTAAGGGATGAGGACCTTGGTCCCAATGGTAGGGTCACTTTTAGCATGTACAGCGGAAGCCCTTTTCAGCTAAAGGTTTCTTTTGACAACTACTACAGCCTTCTGACTGATGGGCCGCTGGACCGGGAGCAAATCAGCGAATACTAGCTCCTAATCACTGCTTCCGATGGTGGCTTGCCCCCGCTTAGCACCCGCAGGACACTCACTGTGTAAGTTGCTGCTGTGAACGACAATACAGCAAGCTTTCCCCAACCGCAACAGGAACTCTTTGTGGCTGAAAACAACGGGCCCGGGGCCAACCTGGGCCGTGTGTTTTGCCCAGGACCCGGACCTGGGGAAGAATGGCCTTGTCTTCTATGAGCTGTTAGATATTAATTCTGAAGGCCCGTCAGTCTCTAGCTTGGTGGCAGTGGAATCATCCAGTGGGGTATCACTGCCAAAACTTCCTTTGACTTCGAGCGGCTCAGGGGGTTTTCCTTACAGGTGGAAGCCAGGGAGGGTGGCATTCCTCCCAGAAGTGCAACACTGACTGTGAACTTTGTTTGTAGTGGATAGGAACAACAATGTTCCAGTCGTTGTTTCCCGTGCCAAGGAATGGCTGTGTACCAGTGGAAATTGTGCCCTGCTCTGCTAGAAGTGGACACTTGGTCACAAAAGTGGTAGCAGAGGATGCAGACAGTGGCTCCAATGCCTGGCTTTCCTACCATGTCTCTCAGGCTTCTGATTCTAGCCTTTTCAGAATTTCAGCCAGTATGCGAGAGCTGCGGACAGCTCGGTTAGTTCTTTCCACTGATGCAGTTAAGCAGAGAGTGATGGTAGTGGTTTGGGACCATGGAGACCCACCACTTTCCTTTTCCATCACTGTGGGTGTGCTGTTGAGCAACTCTGCCCCTCAAGTCCTTCCAGACTTGGAAGATCCCTGGGAAACAGGAGGGCAGCTTTCTGCCCAGAACTTGTATTTTGTCATTGCTCTGGCCTGTATTTCCTTTTTATTTCTGGGGTCTTACTTTTATTCCTGTGCAACAAGTTGAACCAGAGCCTAGGTTGTTGCTCTCAGAGCCGCTGTGCAGTTTGCTGTTGCTCTCCAGAGGAACTGAGGAATGGAAAGAGGATGACTTCAAATCCTTGCATGACATCAACAACAATAGATGTTACCACAATCGAGAGACTGTCTCAGACCTATCTCTATCGGGCCTCTTTGGGACTTGGTTCTGATAACAACAGTTTGCTGTTGCTTGGGGAATACAGTGCTGCTGACCTGAGAAATCTGGCCACTGGAGTAGGATTGAATTTGCTGATATCTTGTATTCAGATTCGGAATAGGAAAGGAGATCATGCAAATATCAATGCCATGGTAAGCGAATGTTATGGGACTTGATTCCCCTTGACCAGAAGATGGCTGCTAGCTGTGTTCTGAATTGTTTCTTAGATGAGCCTTGGTGACATTTAACCAATTAAACTGAACACACCTGCATACACCCACTGTGCTAAGAATTCTGAGAGTATAAAAGTATTAGAAAACTGTCGTTGGCCTCAAGGATCTTATAGGTATTTTTTTGTCTTTGAGAAGTCTAAAAAAACTAAACCTAGTAAAGAACAATAAAAATAGTATAGCCTAAAGGTCCAAAATTAAAAATAATAAAATGCCAAAGTTTCTGGTACAGGTAATAAATGACCTGGGACTTCTTAAAATAATTCCTTTTGGGAATTCCTGTAATGAATTACTTAAAGCAAATATCCCTTCATTTAAACATATTTCTTGAGTCTGATATCCACAGTGGTGAATTGAAAATATGTAAGAGTCTTTGTATAATATGAGTTTAAATTCTATCATAGAAAGTGAAATATTTATTCAAACCATTACAATGAATGATAAAAATGATGATAACCATAAGAGATGTAAACATAAATTGCATGAAGTGTTTAAAGAAGAGAGAGTGAACATGAGAGAACATATAAGCGGGAAGGGGTGAATCAGAAGGCTTTGTGGTAGAGATGGCACTTGAATACCGATTAATATATGATATACCAATTAATAAAATGTGGCATAATTTCTAGCCTATACTCTTCATGAATACCATTTTGGAAAAGTAGTCTTCTTTGAGAATGACACTCCAACATATTAACTGATAGCTCCACAGAAGTGTTTTGTAAGTATATAGAAGTTACAACCATGTTTCAGAACACCTATTTGTGCTGACAGAAAGAAGATAACAGCAATTGGGTATAGGACTTGTAACCTTTCATTTATTTATTTTATTGATACATATCACAAAGAAGAAAGATGAGTAATTGCTAAGTTGGAAACATTTTTATGTTCAAAGGTGCATTTATCAAAGTCCATTCAACTTGGATTTAATTTTCTTACTATTTTAGAAGCCAAATGTACTTAGCAAATAAGTAAATAACCTATTTGAGAGTTATGCATCTATTAAAAGTTAAATGAATCAAATACTTCAATTTATCCATTGGTCCTTGACATTTCAAAACTTAGAATGGAGTCAGGATGCATTTTCTAGCAATTCTACAATATTATTTTCTGAGTTGTCATAGAAATCATAGATATAAGGGAAGGAGGTATACAGAAATTAACGAAGGGAATTGAAGCATTTCTTGTTTTATTGTTCCAGGTAATAAGTGGGTTGTAAGTTATTCCCCCTCAAATAATGATGTTAACTGCAAATAAAATAGATTTACATCCATTATGATTTTGTATACTTAATATTCTCATGTGGTATAATAAAATCCACTATATAAGATATGCTTAGTAAATGCTTGCTGAATGAATGAATAAATATGTGCATGTATGAATTGGATGACCACACTGTTCAATATAAAGGGAAAATCTTTAACTTACTTTTCTACTTTACATGTATAAACATGGTTAAAAGTTTAGAGGCAACTTTCAAATATATTATTTCAATGATTACTTTTTTCCTCATGTTGGATCCTAATGAAGTACAACATAACAGGAATTTTCTGGTCCTCCAGCTAGCATGAAAAACCTTAATGCTGTATTCAGGGGCTAAGTATGAGTCCAATTCCTATAGATGACAAAAAGGTTATCAGTAATGCATATCATTACATTGTGAAATTTGCAGTAAATATTATTTCAGGTATAAAAACACTTAATATATAAAATTCATTTCTTTCATTTCCTTGCTTTCTGTCACAAAGACAGTTGAAAATACCAATGTGGCTATGAAGTTTGGGAGTCAGGAGTTGTTTGAGAAATAGAATTTGACTGGACTAGAAAGAAAAATGATAAGAAGACCAGTAGATCTGGAATTCAGAAGGAAAATTAGCTATTTAAAAGAATTAGCTATAACCTAAGAGTTGAAGGCTGACTTGATGGCATCTAACAAGAACAGGGAAAAAATGCCCCTGCCCAGTTTTTTACTTATATGAATGATAAACAAAGTAACAGAGATACATTGTTCATGTATGCAGGAATATTGTGCCATCCCATTCATCTACTTGAGGAATCTCTTTTCATTATTGTTGATATTTAGCTTTTTAGGTAATCCAATGTCTGCTAATAATTTTTATGGGCTGTATATTTCCTTATATATAAATTAAGTATGGTACATACAAACATGAGTAAAATAACCTCTGTAAAGCTAGAGTATTTGTAATTCACACAGGCATTTATTATTTACTTCTTTTTGTCTAATTACATATTGATTCAATCTTGGGTTTTTAGAAAAGAATACGTGTCATGGTGTTCAATTGAATGCCTTCATGACAACTACAGAATTCTAGAAACAAAATATTTATTGCTTAAATTTTATAAAACAAAAACCCTTTGAAAAGGGTGAAATTTCACAATGATTTTAACTGTGTGCCTGAGTCATATAAATCATGTTGATGCATTTGTGTTTATATTTTGTTCAAATTCTAAGCTCTTCACTTCTATTTTAGTTTACAGTGTATATTAACATAGTGCATGATACTAAAATTTGTCAGTTTAAGAAATTAAGGACAACATGGTTTTTACCTATGTCTGTCCTACTGATAATACTTAACAGATATAAACAAAATTGATCCATTGATATGCAACAACTAGGCAACACATGTCTCATGTCTGTTTTTTCTGTAAAGATTCTCTATTTTTTTAATTGTGTTTAGGTGAAAGTTTATAGCTCAAATTAGTTTCTCATTCAAAAATTTATACACAAATTATTTTGTGACATTGGTTGCAATCCCTACAATGTGTCAGCACTCTCCCCCTTTCCCTTTACACCTCGGGTTCCCCATGTCCATTTGTCCAGTTTTGCTGTCCCTTCCTGCCTTCTCGGCTTTGCTTTTGACCAGGTGTTGCCCATTAGGTCTCCTATAGTTGATTGAACTAAAAAGCACATTCCTCACATATGTTATTGTTTGTTTTATAGCCCTGTCTAATCTTTGGCTGAAAAAAAGGTGGACTTCGGAAGTGGCTTCAGTTCTGAATTAGCAGGGTGTCTGGGGGGCCACAGTTACGGGGGCCCCTCCAGTCTCTGTCAGACCAGTAAGCCTGTTTTACATTCTTTTCCTGCCCTGTACAGAACCCTCTATTGTGATCTGTGTCAGAGCGGTCAGTGGTGGTAGCTGGGCACCATCTACTTCTTCTGGGCTCAGGCTGGTGGAGGCTGTGGTTCATGTTGTCCATTAGTCCTTTGGACTTATGTTTTCCTTGCATCTTTGGTTTTCTTCATTCCCCTTTCCTCCAAACATGATGGGACCAACAGATGTATTTTATATGGTTGCTCGCAAGCTTTTAAGACCCCAGATGCCACTCACCAAAGTAGGATGTAGAACATTTTCATTATGAACTGTGTTACGCCAATTCACTTAGATGTCCCCCGAGGCCATAGTCTCCAGCCCTCAACCCCAGTAACTCGGTCCCTCAAGGTATTTGGATGTGTCTAGGAAGCTTCTATGGCTTTGCCTTGGTCAAGTTGTGCTAACTCTGTTAGTATTCTTTTTTATTTATTTATTTGTTTATTGTTGTAGTTTAAATGAAGTTTACATTTCAAGTTAGTTTCCCATACAAAAGTTTACACATACATTGTTATGTGACCCTAATTGCTCTCCCCATTCTGTGACAGCACACTCCTCCTTTGCACCCGATTCACCATGTCCATTCAACCTGCTCCTAACCCTCTCTGCCTTCGCATCTCACCTCTGGACACAAGTTTAGTCTCTTGTATCTACTTGAGCTAAGAAGCACACTCCTCACGAGTATCACTTCACGTCCCACAGTCCAGTCCAATCCCTGTCTGAAGAGTTGGCCTCGGAAATTGTTTTCGTTCTGGGCTGATAGAAAATCCAGGGGCCGTGCTTTCTGGGGTTCCTCCAGTCTCAGTCAGACCATTAAGTCTGGTCTTCTTACTAGAATTTGAGTTCTGCACCCTACTTTTCTTCTGCTCCATCAGGGACTCTCTGTTGTGTTCCCTGTCAGGGTGGTCATTGGTGGTAGCCAGGCACCATCTAGTTCTTCTGGTCTCGGGCTCTGGTTCATGTGGCCCTTTCTGTCTCTTGGGCTAATATTTTCCTTGTGTCTTTGGTGTTCTTCATTCTCCTTTATTCCAGGTTATTGGGACCAATTGATGCATCTTAGATGGCCACTTGTAAACTTTTAAGACCCCAGATGCCACTCACCAAAGTAGGATGCAGAACATTTTCTTAATAAGCTTTGTTATGCCAATTGATCTAGGTGTCCACCAAAAGCATGGTCCCCAGACCCCTACCCCTGCTACTCTGTCCCTCAAAATGTTTGATTGTATTCAGGAAACTTCTTAGCTTTGGTTTAGTCCAGTTGTGCTGACTTCCCCTGCAGTGTGTGCTGTCCTTCCCTTCACCTAAGATAATTCTTACCTACTATCTAGTTAGTAAATAACCCTCACCCTCCCTCCTCACCCTCCTAACAATCAAAGAATGTTTTCTCCTGTGTTTAAACCTTTTCTTGAGTTCTTATAATAGTGGTCTTATACACTATTTGTCCTTCTGTGACTGACTAAATTCACTCAGCATAATGACCTCCAGCTTCCTCCATATTATGTTTCATGGCTTCATCGTTGTTCTTTATCGTTGCATAGTATTCCATTGTGTGGATATACCATAATTTGTTTATCCATTCGTCCGTTGATGGGCATCTAGGTTGTTTCCATCTTTTTGCTATTGTGAACAGTGCTGTGATGAACATAGGTGTGCATATATCTATTCCTGTGACGGCTCTTATTTCTCTAGGATATGTTCCAAGGTGCTGGATAGCTGGATCATATGGTACTTCTATTTCTAGCTTTTTAAGGAAGCGCCAAATTGATTTCCAAAGTGGTTGTACCATTATACATTCCCACCAACAGTGTATAAGTGTTCCAGTCTCTCTGCAACCTCTCC